ATATATACACACACACATATGTCTTTTACTTTGTCAAGAGAATGAAAGTGCAGTTTTTGAAGAATGTGATTGTGCTCTAGTGCCCAGGGGAAGCTGCAAATAACACAAAACAATGGCTAACAACATTTTTATAGTCCTCATATGCCATGTTTGTTATTTACATTAATAATCTGACATTAATTTGATCCGAATGATTAATTAGCAGATGTAATTACTCCACCACCTGCGTGACCTCAGTAACGACATTGTTGAGCCAATGTGGTTAAAATGATAAATAAGCAGTTTTGTGAATCAATTATGAATAGCTAGTTAATTTCTCCAATGATGCTTTGTACTAAGGTAGTTAAGCAGCAAGTTATGTCATTGTACGGGAAACGCACCCCTGATTGCTGAAAGAACCCTTCTCCCATCTCTGCTAACAAAGTGCATGACAGTTCACTATGAGACAAAATTACACCAAACCTCTGAAGTTTAAGTCGCAAAATAGTCAAGGTCCACTTGAAAATGTTGTCAGGGTTTCCAAGTATCCCAGAGGTTCGAAAACACCTCCTGTTTCCTCAGCTTTAAATGTTTTGTCACATTTGACCGCTTTGTGACCCTGTATGGGGATGCTGTCTTGTAGTACAAGGAAATTATCACTGATAACGTCAGTGACCATACTGTAGTCCTCCCCTACCAGAGGTGTCTGGTCTCGTTTCTCTTCATCAACCTCAACGTACCCCATAAGTCCAGCAGGGTTGATGCTGACGTGCTCACATTTGCTACCGGAGCTCATTTGAGTGTTTTGATCCGGAGCTTTTACTGGTGAGCCATTGCAATCAAGGTGAAGTAGTTTTTGAGGCTCTCCAAGGACACTGCTGGTGGCATTTAGCTGATTGGAGACAGTCCCAGAGTAGACGTCTTCACTCAGTGTTGTGATTAGATCCTGACTGCTTTTCAATGTGATCTGGATGCTGTTTTGAGAGATCTTTTGTGCAGTATCTGTGGGACAGTTTTCTCCCTTTTGGTACTCAAGATGAGCTTTGCCATCAAAATCCATTTCCTCATCATAGTCAGAGACCACGAGGTACTCCACTTGACGGTCTGATCTCTGGGCTATTTGGGGATATCCCGGAGTAATCAGAGCACTGAAGATTTCCTCGGACTTCCCACTCTGTGAAATGAGAAGTAAAATGACGTTTGTATTTTGTAACTGCAGTTTTGTGGGGTCAATTCATTGTCTGCTGGAAATGTTAAAAAAACTCCCTCCTATTTTTTGACAATGATAGAACATTTCAACAGATTGTTTAGAAAAATTGTCACAATGTAATGTGACTATCTTCTTTTATGTTCCACATAAGAAAGAAACTCATACAGGTTTAGAACGGCACGAGGGTGAGAAAATGACAGAATTTTCATTTTCTATTCTAAAGCACTGCCATTTTTTTTCTTCCTAATGTCATATTTATCCTGTAAAAAAAAGCTCAAAAGTAAAATTAAACTGCACTACTATAAAACTGCGGCTCGTGGAAAAATGAATTAATAAAATAATATATTGTTGCTTTAACAAACTAGAAATGCATGAATTATGGTACTGTCTGCTGTACCTTAAGGAGCTGAGTGTCTAAGCCACTGATCTTCGGTTCTGGAACTG